TGATTTATTTTTCAAACAATACTCTAAACGTCATGGTCCAATTTTAACAAAAATTTGTAAATATGTTCTTATACCTGATAAATGTTGTTTTAAGTCTCCATTTGGCATGTACTCGTAGATGAGGGCCAAATGGTCTCCTTCGTCACAATAACCAACAAGACTCACCAAATTTCTATGGTGCACTCTCATAAGAAGTTCCACCTAATGAACCACCCATTGGCTAATACTCTTAAAGATAGGAAGTACATGTAAACAACAATTGGATTCCAATAAAGATCACCGGGTCAAAGTCTAACCTCTGCCTTGAAATGTTTATAGCCTTGAGAAGATGATTGAGAGAGCAATTTAACAGCTACTTGTTGGGTACCATTAACACAACCATGATAAACGACTCCAAAGCCGCCTTCACCAAGAACTCTCTGAAAGTTATCAGTCATTTCTTGAACCTCGAAATAAGTAAACCTTATCTTTTTTGAGACAAATGATGGTTCTGAATGTTTAGCATGTTCGACATCTACTACGGGCATGCTTGGTGGAGCATGTACATCTACAAGGTACAATGATTGATTTATATACCTTGATTTTATCAAATTTCTCTAATGATTATATGCCTAGAGACTCACCTGAAGGCACCTTCTTTTTTCGGAAAACAAAAAAGAGAGCCACAACCACTATTGCAATAATCACAGAAGAAATTGATGCAATAACCGGTACCAAGAATCCCTTTTTCTCTTTTGGATTGCATGAACTAAACTTGCATAGCTTTGGATTTCCTTCAAGTCTGCAAGAAGCACATGTAATACCGAGATTGTTGAATTAATGTACCATATAGATGTGGAAGAAACATATCTTGCAATAAAAAGAAAATCAATATATTTATGTTATAGTTGATAAATGTATGCCTTCAATGGGAAAATAATCTTACTTTAAGACAAGTCCTTCCTTTTCTCTATCAAGAAGAGTTTGTGGAACTGAACCGGTAAAATTGTTTCCACTCAAGTCTCTATTTAAGGAAAAAATAACAGCCATCATATATATATAGAATCCAACAACAACGAAAACACAGGCCAAATTAATGTTCATTCTGCTTTCTATAAAACTTACATCAAAGATAATGATTTAATGTTGGCCAGAAAAGCAGGCACAAGTCCAGTCAAATTGTTGTTAGATAAGTCCCTGCGCGGCCATAAATAAATACAAATGGTTCGCTTACATGTCAAATTGTCCGACCAAACCATTCTGTGTTTGATGAGTCAAGAATAGAAGTACTACTTACAGCTCTTGTATCTGCGTTAGATTTTGAAAAAATGAGGCTAGACTGCCAGTTAATCCACTGGCTGACAAGTTTCTAATAATGCAACAAATAAAGTAAAATAAACACTGAAAATATATTTGGTTAAATTAGTTTGAAGTAGGAACTATGTTTCGTAATGCCCTTACAATGAAATGATTTTTGGTGGGGTGGAGATATTTTTATAACTGCATTTAAGATTTTCCCAGGATAATTCTTGAGGGAGACATGGATCTCCTTGCCAACTAGTTTTACTCAGTCGGTACGTAGCTTTAATGTTTTTGATAGAAATAACTAACATAAAAATTAGATATAAAAATCAATAGTATACAATATATGAAAAGACAAAAAAAAACAATTATGTGGTAATAAGTAAAAGTTTGAGTGAGGTACCATCACTTAGGCTTGTTTCCAATTGTGGGAATTCGATAATAGTGTAAGCCTCAAGAGCGTTGATTAGAGGTGGAAGCGTTGAGTTTGGAGTTCTTATGAGTTGTAAATTGCAACCATCTGAATCACATTGCACTGGTGCAGCTGTGAAAAATGTAAGTAGCTCTAACATGGGAGGACTAAATGCTGAATAGTTAAAGTTTCCTTTAAAAACAATGTCGAACTCCCTCGTCTCGTTGGCTGCAAGAGTTTGTATCTCAGCGAAATGAAGATAGAAGTAAACTTCAGCATTAGAGGGTCTTGGTTTCCAGGTGATGATCAGCGGCGCGCTAGTGTTTTTAGGCGTGGCAGCACTTTTGAGAGCAGCTTTTGGTATCTCAAATATATCTGAATTGTTTATATTGAGACTAGTCGTTATATAGGTAAATGAAGTGCTGAAGAATGGATACCAGACACGATCGTAGGAGTCATCATCATACCTGCAAGTGAATTGTGTTAGGCAACATAATTAAGCAAATCAACCCTTGTTAGGATTTGGACCCGCAAACCCAATGTTTTAAAACCAATTTAAACAGAAAAAAATAGCTGACACACACAAATTCTAATCTCAATCCAAACTACATTTAATTCATATACGAATCATTTTTGTTTACATGTTTAAAAAAATTGTATAACAATGATAGTTTGATAATAAATAACAGAAAGAACCAAAACAAAATGTTGAATTAAAACAAAACATGTTGTGCGGTGATAGTTGCAACTTGTGTCTTAATTTTATCCTAATTAACTCTTAACAACGATGTTTATATACTACCAAAAGTACAATTATTTATGTGTAAGAAAATTGATGCCGTGCATGATTAATGACAGAGGACTCTCACTTATTGTTTCAAACAAAGTCAACTTACCTTATCTCTCTATCAGAAGTGCTACAATGAACCCGGAAAGAATTCCTCAGTGATCCCGAATGCGTAACATAAGTATCATTTCTCTTTGGTCGTAGTTCTATAGATGATATTATCGGCGAGGTTGGTCCTGTTTTAACAAGACAAATATCCAAAGAGCTTGACCTCACTCTGTGTATGATCTCCTCGAATGTACCATTTTGTCTTCCTTCCATATCTATTCGTGCCCACTTATCAGGACCAAGATAGAGATCAAAGTTTGGATATATATTAAGACCATCATAATTTCCATATATGAAGGTAACCAAGATGAGATAATTTGTGCCACGATTGACATTCAGACTAAAACAATTACGCTTTCCTTCTGGAAAGTATCGTAGAGTCAAATATGGTTTTCGGAATATTTTGTTGAGCTCTTTATCGACTCTACCACTTTTTCCCGTCTGGATAAATGTCGAATCAGATGTGAATGTTAATCCAGTAGACGGATCACTATAAGGAGATTCCTCGATAGGAAATCCGCAATCCAAACTGATGAAACCTGTTCGAGCATAAAGGGATTCGACGAAGTTAAAAAAAAAATTATATATAGAATAACCATTTAAAACCTGTTCAATCTTTACCTTCTTGTTTCTGGGAGCCAACTATAACGGCAAAGGTTCCAATTATGACCAACAAAAGATGGCTCCTCATCTTCTTGGAAAGCTTAGATGGAAACCAAGAACATAACAAAGACTTGCTTAGTGAAAAAAAGAAAACTACGTAAATGAGAAATACCTCATATACACACAATGGAATACATTAAAGAAAGTCAACTTAGACCAAACATAAAGATTGAATAATTGCGATAATTTTTTATTTTTTGGTTTATTGTGTGAATTTTTTTTTGACACGTTACAACCTCAACTTGTGTTTAATCTAATAGGCTATAATCATAAGATTGCGACATGTATAGGAATTTCCTTGCATGAATGTTTGTCTATCTCCAGTTGAATTAACTCTCGGTCTCTGCTTTGAATCCTTGACCAAACATAACAGATCTTCGATCATTACACAAAACGGATACACTTGGGGCACAAGGATATGACAAGGTTTGCTTTAGGTAATTAGAGCAAAGGATTCACTACATATGAAAAACAATTACAAGTTACAACCTATTTGAAACATTACTCGTGATCCGCATAACCGTAAGTTCTTTCTATACATTACGGTAACTTATGTTTGGATCGACCTAACCATAAGTTATTTCTCTTATGTGAAATTTCCCAAGCCTACACTGTCATCTTGTAGTTGCTAAGGAATTTATTTAATCTTTTGATCAGTTTCTATTTAAAATTTTGCTTCTTGCATTTGGCTATAACTAATTTTAGAAATAAAATTTTTGAAACCAATTTCTTGCTGTACAAGAAAGCACAAAATGCGAGTATAATTATGTAAAAGAGAGAACTCTAAGAAAAAGAAAAAAAAAAGATAAAGTATCATTTTGTTTGATTGAATGATTTATACATATATACGTGCATCAATGTAGCCAGAACTAAAATTTTAAAATATGTCTATACAACCACACTTTAACTTTTACAAACTTGTTAAAAGACCACCAAAAAAAAACATTATCACATAACTTACATTTTCACTTTAACTATTACAAACTTGTTAAAGATCCACAGAAAAAAAAAAAAAAAAAAAAAAAAAAAACATTATAACATAACATAGATTTTTCATGTAGTTAACACATACAGTTTCCGATTGTCAAATTAAGCTCCATCAAAAAATAAAAATTGGAAACCAAGTGGATGATGAAAATGTAAACGATCTTTCGAAAAAAAGGTTTGATCTATTTTCCCCTAACAACGGATATTATCGAAGGTTGATCTCGGGCCTACTGACCTAAGACGTAGAATTTCTTGGTTGACAATATATAGTGTGAATGTGAGCTGCCTATATGGATCAAACATGCATGTTATCGATATTGTAGACTAGAGTATATAATTATGGTGAGAATTATTATACTTAATCGTTGCATTTGACTATATGCAGCTAATTATCTCTCCACGTATATGAGTAATCCATAGATGATGTATGACAGGCAAACTAAACGAATATTAGGGTTTGTCAAGAAACGACTGATAGTAGTTTAGTTTAAAGACCAAGAATTTTGCATTATTGTGATTATGATTGAGGTGAAGGTCAACTATTAAATCCACCAACTTGTTGTTAAATACAAGTCGTTGAAGTCGTTGGCAAAATTATCATATAGAATCCCAAGCTTTGACATTAGATCAACTTGGCAGGTTTTACATTGTTTAAACAAAGATAACATCAGGTGCTTTGATTTATGATTAAATTGTACGCTTTTTTCCACAGAGTGGAATAAAATGTGTATATTTCCGTTAGACCATTCTTCAGTGCTTGGACGAGTAACATGACATGATTCTATAATTGGAGAGTATTCCACGCCAACATGCATATGTATGTTTTAGATTTTAATTTTTCTTGATCTAAATTATTTCTATAATTTGTACTAGAAAATCAATATTTTCTTTCATATATTTCAGATTGTCTTTGGTATCAAAAGTTTGCATGTTAACTTGAAAATGGAGGGTCGTCGTCAACTTTTACTGGCGTTGAGCTTTGGGGCTTTTGCCATTATACATCTCGTTCAAGCTCAGCCGCCTGATCAACAAGGTTTCTTTATATATCATGTTTTAATTATTATTCATAATTGCTTCATGTTTACTTTTTGACCCATAAAGACTAAGGATTAACCATGTAGTTTAGTGTTCTTGGTCGACTGGTCGAGATCACTGACCGATATATAGTTGTTGTATGCATAGCCACCATGAAAATCACATAACGACTATAGATATAAGAGATTTGGTATTAAAAATCAAGGATTCTCTGTTTTCCAAAACTTTTGATTCTCTTCCTTATAAGCTTCATTTTCTAAACAAGAAGGAAACATTATTTGCACTAATAATACATTTTGTATCTTGCCAGGATTCATCAGTTTGGACTGCGGTTTACCCGTTAATGAGTCTCCTTATACCGACCCAATAACCGGATTAACATTCTCATCTGATGCTGATTTTATTTTAAGTGGTTTACGTGGTGAAGTTGGGGATGACAGGACCTATATCTACAGGCAGTACAAGGATTTGAGATATTTTCCCGATGGAATACGAAACTGCTATAATCTGAAAGTAGAGCAAGGCATCAACTATTTGATAAGAGCGGGGTTCGGATATGGAAATTATGATGGTCTAAATGTATATCCAAAATTTGATTTACATGTTGGGCCTAACATGTGGATTGCGATTGATTTGGAATTTGGAAAAGATCGTGAGATCATTTACATGACAAAGTCGAACTTATTGCAGATTTGTCTTGTAAAAACAGGATCAACTATACCAATGATATCAACCTTGGAACTACGGCCACTAAGAAATGATTCGTATATGACGCAATTCGGTCCCTTGAACCTCATTTACCGGCGGGTCTATAGTAACAATTCTACCGGTTTTATACGGTATGTAAACTCAGCTTTAGCAACTCTATGTTTTTTAAAAAAACAATCTAACAACATATTTCTTTCAATAAACAAAAAATATAGTAAACCTGATATGTGACTTAAAATTCTAATAATTTCCATTGTAATAGAAAATTTAATCATCCTCCTTTCCCATGAACATAGACACAAAATCAGAGTTATGGTAGATTTTAATTTCAAATTTTTATTTGAACTCACTGTCTCTATCATCTTGCAATACCAACAAACCCAATAACATGATGTAACATGATTCATTTACTATTGCATGTCTAATCCAAAGATTGTTCTAGGTATCCTGATGATATCTTTGATCGCAAATGGGACCGATATAATGAATTCGAAACGGATGTGAACACCACCCTCAATGTAAGATCCTCTAGTCCCTTTCAAGTACCAGAAGCTGTGAGTAGGATGGGAATCACGCCCGAAAATGCCAGCTTGCCATTGAGATTTTCAGTGTCTCTAGATGACGACAGTGACAAGGTTAACGTGTACTTTCACTTTGCCGAAATCCAAGCCTTGAGGGCCAATGATACTAGAGAATTCGACATTGAATTGGATGGTAATATTATTCAATCAGCATATAGTCCTACGATGTTTCAATCAGATACCAAATACAACCTATCACCTCAAAAATGTAGCGTCGGGTTGTGCTACTTGGACCTCACTAGAACTCCGAGGTCAACTCTTCCACCGCTGATTAATGCTATTGAGGCTTTCAAGGTTTTGGACTTTCCATATGCTGAAACAAATCCAAATGATGGTACGTCACTATTCCTCTATACTCTATAGCCTAGTTATGAAAGGGCTTATTTGAATGATTGTTTTACAAAATTAAGAAAAAAAAACATATGGTAACAAAATTGTAAATCAATTTTGTGTGTTTTCGCATTTGATTTGAACAACCAGCGTAGTATATCATGTAAAACATCGTGTTAAACATGACATTTGTTTTAAAAAAGGTGTAAAATCTATATTATTAAAAAACGCGATAAATGACCAAACTTATACGGTTTTATAATCTTTTCTGTTTGCAAATAAGAAATTTATAATCTTTTATGTGTTAATTCTTGGCTTCCTCCTCGAACCACTATGTTAGTCGCTGCTATGAAGGATATCGAAGAAATTTATGGATTGAAGATGATTGGTTGGCAAGGAGATCCTTGTGTACCTGAACTATTAAAGTGGGAAGATCTAAAATGCAGCTACACAAATCAGTCTACTCCTCCAAGAATTATTTCTTTGTACGATCACTATCTCATAATTAAGCATATTGAAACCTAAATCTCTCAAGCATCTTATTATACTTGAAATTTGTTCTAATAATGTAAACAGAGATTTGTCATCGCGAGGGTTAAAAGGTGTCATAGCACCTGCCTTCCAAAATTTGACCGAGCTTCGAAAACTGTAAGAGCCATGCATGAGAAAACATAGATATTGTGACCATCTCATATCATATAACAAATTGGACGAAAAAATATATCATCTCATACTATTTTCTTTATCCAGTTAACGAAAAAAACATATTGACCTTTTTACGTTTTATAAATGCTAGGGACTTGTCAAACAATAGTTTTACTGGAGGAGTACCCGAGTTTCTAGCCAACATGAAATCATTATCGATCATGTAAGTTGATGTAAACAAACATAGTAGCCACTTATTTTTCACTAGGTATACTTGTTGTCACTTGTCATTGACATTGTAATATTTCTTTACCTTGACAGAAATTTAAATTGGAATGATCTTACGGGTCCTCTTCCTAAATTGTTTCATGATAGAGAAAAGAATGGGCTTAAGCTAACGTAAGATTTTCACCTTTATGTTTTCTTCCATCAACTTTCCTCAAGCTATAGTAGTCTGATTCAACAACTCTTCTTTTCTTAAGGATCAAAGGAAACCCAAAGTTGTGTGAAGATGCGTCGTGCAAAAACAAGAGTCAAACGTACATTGTACCAGTTGTTGCATCAGTAGCTTCTGTGCTCATCATTGTAGCTGTGCTAATTCTCATTCTTGTTTTCAAAAAGAGAAGGCCAACGCAAGGTACTTAACTATATAACTGGGCATATTCTTACTGTAACATGTATGCATGATGAGATACTAAAGACATGATGCCTAATCTCATGGAATTTTTTCGTTGTGGACAGTTGATTCTTTACCTACAGTTCAACATGGGATACCAAATAGACCGTCTATATTTACTCAAACGAAAAGGTTCACTTATTCAGAGGTAGAAGCATTGACAGATAATTTCGAAAGAGTGCTAGGAGAAGGAGGGTTTGGGGTAGTGTATCATGGTTCTTTGAATGGTACGCAACCAGTAGCTGTTAAACTACTCTCTCAATCATCAGTACAAGGCTATAAGGAATTCAAAGCTGAGGTATGTTAATACATAATACATATGTTATAAACTAGTGAATACATGGACCATATATACGTTCATATGGAACATGCAATGGTTCTAAATTTTGTTTGAACATGGGTGGTCAGGTTGAACTTCTTTTGAGAGTGCACCACGTCAATTTAGTTAGTTTGGTTGGATATTGTGACGAAGAAAGCAATTTGGCCCTCCTTTATGAGTATGCTCCCAATGGAGACTTAAAACAACATCTCTCAGGTATAAATTTGAATTCCCTACATTTCAAAATAAGAATCACTTGACATATTACTTTGATGTTTTATGTCTTTACAACACTCAAATATTTAAAATTATAGGAGAACGGGGTGGCTCTCCATTGAAGTGGTCAAGTAGACTAAAAATTGTTGTTGAAACTGCACAAGGTTCATTTTAAGCTCAAATCCATCAATCACTTTATATTGATCATCTAACTTGAATGAATTTAATTATATATATAGGATTAGAATACTTGCATACGGGTTGCAAACCTCCAATGGTACATCGTGATGTGAAAACAACAAATATACTTTTAGACGAACACTTCCAAGCAAAACTCGCAGATTTTGGCCTTTCAAGATCATTTCCAATTGGAGGTGAAACTCATGTTTCAACAGCTGTTGCTGGAACTCCTGGATATTTGGATCCAGAGTAAGTGTTACATCACCGAACTATTTTGATTCAAATTGTTTTTCCTAATTTATTTAATACATATATTTCATGTTTTGTTTGCAGATATTATCGAACAAATAGGTTGAATGAAAAGAGTGATGTATATAGCTTTGGGATTGTATTATTGGAGATCATCACAAGTCGACCTGTGATTCAGCAAACCCGAGAAAAGCCGCACATAGCTGCATGGGTGGGATACATGCTTACTAAGGGAGATATTGAAAACGTTGTAGATCCAAGACTCAATAGAGATTATGAGCCCACATCTGTTTGGAAGGCTCTTGAGATAGCAATGTCTTGCGTGAATCCTTCTTCTGAGAAAAGACCAACCATGTCTCAAGTTACAAATGAACTAAAGCAATGTCTAACATTAGACAACTCAAAGCGAGGAGGGAGAGAAGACATGGGATCAAGAAGTTCTATTGAAATGAGCACAAGCTTTACAACCGAAATTATCCCTAAAGCGCGATAACTTATGCCAAAAAATCCCATGATCAATACAGATTTTGAAATTTCCTTGACTTATTTTTACGAAAATTATATTTTGTTGGTCATTTATTGGTACAACTTCATTGTACTTACTTCTGCTTGTGCTCGTATGTGATATTATGGCTATTAGTGTGGATGCTTTGTTTGGTTTTGTTTTATTTGTGGTTGTGGTCTTGCGGGTCTTTCAAATTCAATCTCATTTCTGTTAGTAGTTTAATAAAGCATAATCAGTATTCAGCTCATTTTTTTCCCTGTTTTTTGTTTTATTCAGTAATGTATTTAGAGCTTGATGTTTGGTACATGCCTTCTACTACACCATCTTTACATCTTACAACTTGATGCATCATCTCCTATATCACATTTTTCTCTGGATTCTTGGCGGTTGATGGACATCTTTGGCATCAACATCTAGGACACTCATCTTGTGACAAGTTAATTAAAACTTATTTCCGGTACATGGTACATCAATGTACATTTAATAAACTAGCAAACTGCTATTTACTTAATTAAAATAGCAATTTGTCGTACCTTGTCGTTTGCTAATGCATATCATCTTTCAAGTTTTTTTTTTTTTTGGTTCGAAATTAGCAAGTTTTTTTTTTACAAATTAAGTAAATAGCAATTTGGAAAGTTTTTTTTTATTATTTAAGAAAAGAAAAACTTTTCAACTTGTTATTTACTTAATTTAAATTATCAATCTTGTCATTTATCAAACAATATGTTAGTTTGCTTAGGTAGACACGCTAAAGTAAACAAACTCTCTAACTACTTATGATTAAACCGTTGCATTTGACCTTTGCTGCCAGTATATCTCAAGGTACATGAGTAACCCATAGATGAAGGATAAAAGAATAGTACGGTATGTCACTAGGATGAGTAAGTGATCTTAGTTTATTTTTCAAAACCACGAATTTGACATTATTATAGGATTATTAAGGTGAAAGTCAACAAAATATATTAAATCCATCTAGTCTATATAGAAGGCGATGGCTGAATTATCATACAGTTTATATACCTTTGACATTAGAGCAACTTGGCAGATTTTACATCAGGTACTTTGATTTAATATTTTACCTTTTCCCAAAATTTGGACTACAAAATGTATATATTTTTTGTTTGACCGCTTGTAGGTGTATATTTGAAAATTTAAAAGTATTTCTTATCGTATTGTAAAATCAATAAATTCTCTCAGCTGCTTCATATAATCTATCGTATCAAAAAAAAAGAAGTTTGTATCACAACTTGAAAATGGAGTGCTATCGCAAACTGTTACTGGCTTTGAGCTTCGGGGCTTTTGCTACTATACATCTTGTTCAAGCTCAGCCAGATCAACAAGGTAATTGCATATTATTTTTTTAAGTTTTATCATTGTTTCATGTTCACTTTGGAGACATAAAGAATGATGATAAATAACACATGGTTGTAGTTCTAGTTGTATGCATGGTCATTGTAGAATTCACATGAAGGCTATAAAGCCGAAAGATTTGGTTAGGAGTTTGAAGATCATATATGTTTCAACATTTTTTTTATTCTTCCTTACGCTTCACAATTTATCAAAAAGAAATAAACATTACTTGCACTAATATTTCATGTTTCGCCAGGATTCATCAGTTTGGACTGTGGTTTACCCCCTGGCGAGTCTCCGTATACCGACCCCGTAACCGGATTAACGTTCTCATCTGATGCCGACTTCATCGAAAGTGGTAAACGAGGAGAAGCTGGGGATGATGTGACGTATACCTACAGGCGGTACAAGGATCTGAGATATTTTCCGGATGGAACACGAAACTGCTATAATCTGATAGTAAACAAGGGAATCAACTATCTAATAAGAGCCGGGTTCTCCTATGGAAATTATGATGGCCTTAACGTATATCCCAAATTTGATTTACATGTTGGGCCTAACATGTGGATCGCGGTGGATTTGGACGACGAAAATGATCGTGAGATCATTTACATGACTAAGTCAAATGTATTGCAGATTTGCCTTGTCAAGACAGGAGTAACTATACCAATGATATCAACCTTGGAACTACGGCCATCAAAAAATGATTCTTATATGACACAATTCGGTCCCTTGAACCTAATATACCGGCGGGCCTATACAAGCGATTCTCGCGGTTATATACGGTATGCTAAGTCTATTTAGCAAGTTTACTTTTCAAACAAATTTAAAGATATAGTATTCATTTATGATATATATACTTTTACTTTTTTCATCTCAAAATTTTTAATTCGTTCAAGAGAAATGTATTAAGGAGATGCTGAAATGGGTTTATTTTAAGTTTTAAATTTTTGAAGGTTAGAGTAACTTCTATCTAGACTCTCTTGAGCAGTTTGTTTTCTGGTTTGTCCCTTTGTTTGGAAGGTGCTTTAAATCATTATAAGAGAGAGGGTTTTCGATTTTATGACTTTTTAAAGAGGAAAAATTAACCATTCTAGTATTCAAGTAAACTGCACACTTGTGGGACTTACTCGCAATTCATAGACCACCCCCTCCTTTTCCCGCCGCGAGACTCACTTATTTCTAGATTAAAAAAATTTGACCCAACCCCGCGCCAGGGGATGAGGCAGGGCCAATGGGTTTTAGTTCACATTGAAAAAAATGAAAGCTCTACTTAAGTGTGAGAATTGTATGTTTGATCACCCTCCTATACCTTAAATTTTGATATCTTCTTTTTTTCCTTTCACTCATTCATTCCTATCCAATTTCAATATAACATGATGCCTTTACATACAACAACGCAATGTCATGCGATGTATATAACAAGATCCGTTAACTTTTGCATGGCAAACCCCTTGTTTCCTTCTTCTTTTTCAGGTATCCTAATGATGTTTTTGATCGCAAATGGGATCGATATAGCTGGTTTGAAACAGATGTAAACACCACTCTCAATGTGACTTCCTCAAATCCTTTTTTAGTGCCAAATGTTGTAAGTAGGTCAGGTATTTCCCCAAAAAATACCAGCAAACCAATGTTCTTTTACACATCTTTAGAGGACGACAATGACAAAGTTATTGTGTACTTTCACTTTGCCGAGATCCAAGATCTGAAAGGAAATGATACGAGGGAATTCGACATTGAATTGGATGAAAAAATTATTCACAAAGCTTATAGTCCTAAGGTGTTACTATCGGAAACAATATACAACACATCACCACAAAAATGCAGATTTGGCGCTTGCGCCATATACCTTGTAAGAACTCAAAGATCAACTCTTCCACCACTGATCAATGCTATGGAGGCATTCAATGTTTTGGAATTTCTATATGTCGAAACAAATCCAAACGATGGTATGTCACTATTGATTCCTCTATATAGCCTAACTAAGAAACTCTAATATTAAATATACTTATTCTTCACTTCCTCATCAACCTCTATATAGTGGCTGCTCTCAAGAATATCCAAACTACTTATGGATTGAACATAATCAGTTGGCAAGGAGATCCTTGCCTCCCTGAACAGCTGAAGTGGAAAGGGGTAGAGTGCAGCTATACAAATAAGTCGACTCCACCAAGAATCATTTCCCTGTAAGATCATTTTCAAATCCCACACTGTTAGAGGTGAAACGTTTGTCCCTTAATTTTACTTGAATTTTTTTGCTGATGTAAACAGAGACTTATCGGCAAACCAGTTGAGTGGGAGCATAGCATCTAGCTTTCAAAATTTGACCGAGTTGCAGAAACTGTAAGGCTTCTCAATTGTTCGACGATACCTTATTTTTGCCATAATTTATCATGATTTTTTGGAAAGAAACAAGAATAGAAAATAAACTGGTAAGAATAACTCAAACCACTCAATATGGCCATTGTATTTATACTCATATAAGTCAATCTTGTTGTTTATATATTATCTATTATATTGTAGCATCACCTCAATTTCTTTTTTAACTAGTAAAACATATCTTATAACTAGTAAATTGTTTTCGAAATAAAGACAAAGCCAATGACGACTTCTTAAAACGTCTAACAATTGCCAGGGATTTATCAAGTAATAGTTTGTCGGGAGGACTACCCGAATTTTTAGCCAACATGAAATCATTGTTGACCATGTAAGTTACTCCAAAAGAAGAAAGAAAACATTTATTTGCTTCATATTTCTATACTCAGCTTGATTAGTTATATGGTTTGGTGCAGTAACTTAAGTTGGAACAATCTTAAAGGTACAATTCCTCAGGCTCTTCGTGATAGAGAAAAAAATGGGCTAAAGCTAGTGTAAGAATTTTCAAATATATTTTTTTTTTCTCATGACTCTCCATTCAGTTTTCTGCATTTACTTGTATTTTCCATGAAACTTGTATTTTGTAGTATGCAAGGGAACCCAAAGCTTTGCCAGACTGATGAATGCAAAAATAGCAACACAAGATTCCTTGTACCGGTTGCTGCATCCATTGCTTCCTTGACCGTTATTGTAGTTGTGCTAGTTCTCATTTTCTTTGCCATAAAGAAAACAAAGTTAAAAGGTACATTGAGGATATCCTACAATACCATAAGTATACTAAAATCTCATGGAGATTGTAGTTCTGATATATGATATCTCCGGTACAGTTCGTAGAAGATCACCAATTGCTAAGTCAGTGATATTAACCAAAAAGAAAAGGTTTACATATTCCGAGGTTGAAGCAATGACAAATAACTTTGAAAGAGTTCTCGGGGAAGGAGGATTCGGAGTTGTCTATCATGGTTCTTTAAATGATCCCGAACACGTAGCTGTTAAACTGCTCGCTCAATCATCTACACAAGGGTATAAGCAATTCAAAGCAGAGGTAATCTACACACAAAACACTCTAATTACAAAAATCGCGGTTTTGTATGTATAATTTATATTTTTACATTCTTGATAAGGTGGAGTTGCTTCTGCGAGTCCATCACACAAATTTAGTAAACCTTGTTGGATACTGTATCGAAGAAGACCAGCTGGCCCTTGTCTATGAGTTTGCATCCAACGGGGACTTGAAACAACATCTCTTAGGTAAATGTGCATTTTTACAGAATTATCGGCACTAAAGAATGATCAGTAGTTAGATTATGATGTGTCTGTCTTAATATTCAAAGATTTGACATTCCTTTTAATTCTTTTGTCCAACATTCAAAGATTTGACATTCCTTTTAATTCTTTTGTCCAACATTCAAAGATTTGACATTTTATATCATGGCAAATATCAGGAGAATCACATGGAGTAGCTTTAAATTGGGCAAATAGACTTATAATCGCTATGGAGACGGCACAAGGTATTATTCCACAATTGGAACTAAGAAATTTTTAATTCTTTTGTGAACTAATAACTTGTTGTTCACCCTATTTCGCATTACAAAACTTTACTATAAATAATGATTCGTGTTAAATGTCTAAAGGAATATATTTGATACAACAAGATTAGAGTACTTACACATTGGATGCGAACCCCCAATGATCCACAGAGATGTCAAAACAACAAATATACTTCTTGACGAGAACTACCAGGCGAAGCTTGCTGACTTTGGACTCTCTAGATCTTTCCCAATCGGAGTTGAAAGGCATATGTCGACAAATGTCGCCGGAACTCCCGGGTATCTTGATCCTGAGTAAGCATAATAAGTTGACCACATCAAATCAAACTATAACTTGTATTTATTTTTAATTGGTTTAGATTTATATGTGTGTGGTTTGTTATGCAGATATTTTCAAACAAATTGGTTGACCGAGAAGAGTGATGTATATAGCTTTGGGATTGTACTATTGGAGATGATAACAAGCCAACCTGTGATTCAGCAATCCCGTAAAAAACCTCACATAGCAGAATGGGTGGGATTAATGCTTAAAAGGGGAGATATTGAGAATATTATGGATCCAAATCTCCATGGGGATTATGACTCAAGTTCTGTTTGGAAGGCTCTTGAGCTAGCTATATCATGCGTCAATCCCTCTTCGTTAAGAAGACCAAGTATGACTCAGGTTGTTAGTGAATTAAAGGAGTGTCTCGTATATGAGGACTCAAAGAAGGGAAGGAAATCAGATATGGATTCAAATATTTCCCTTGAACTAAGTACTAGCTTCACCGTGGTAATGACCCCTCATGCACGGTAATCTCTACCAAGGAAAACATCACATATATTTATGATAGATAAGGAAACAATGATACAATTTCGGCTGAATTATTCTTAGCTTGTTTTGAAACCTTTTTCAGCTACTTACAATGTCAAAGGTTTTAATTTTATGGAAAACTTCTATCTTTGATATCCAAAGTGTATGAATACAACAACAATTGCACTACCACCTAAAACTCTGTTTCTTTCCCTCAATATGACAACAAACAAATATTATTTGTCCAAACAATGTTATATAGAAGCTTAGGGACCAAATTCTCTCTTCCTTTAATTTGCTTTCAGTTTGTAATTTTGTTATATATATATACTAGGTAGATGACCGGAAATGGATGAATTGTTGTTTTTAAGTTGAATTCATAGTTTAGTCTATGCAGTCCTGGTCCTGGCCCAAAGAAAATACGGATTTTTGGGCACAAAAATTTTTTTGGGCATGTTATCATTAAAAATATATATTTCTTGTTATTTTTAATTAAGTTTTTTTGGTATTTTATTCTTAAAATAAATTATTTTCAATATTTTGGGGATCTCCTCTAATCAAACTTTCAATACGTAGAAATCATCTACATGTATACATTAAACTTTCAATACGTAGAAATCATCTACATGTATACATTATTACACAGTATATCATCTGAACGATTAAATATGCCTAGGGTTTTGAAAAACTTAATGAAATAAAAAAAAAATTGTAAATATAAATATATATTACCTATAATCCTATTATTTAAAAATATATCAATGTACATTAAAAATTTTAGATGTAATGCATTTTAAATTCAAAAATGGATCAAAGTAAACTGAAAATATATGATTATATCAAATTTGACATAACCGTCTTTTATTTTATGAGTTATGAAATTTTCTTGTGTATTAATATTAAAATTAAGACATAATTATGTTCATATTTTTCTTAAATCATTTAATTAGGTATACTATTTAAATATCATTATCTTATTGATTAGTGCATGTCTTAAATTTAATGGTTTGTAGTTTTGGAGGGTAATTTTGTTTAACTTTCTTTTCTTTTACTTATGTTTTTTCTTACATATGAACCCAAAATATGTCATAGGCCGTGTTCGTTTCACAATCGCAAACGATTGTGACTGTGACTGTGATTTTGAAATCGCTGGATGTTGTTCGTTTAGCAGTCGCACGATTGGTCGCTGCGACTAATTGCCATTTAAAAAGTCGCCTCGCTAATTTTTTCTGCGATCAAAAAATTCAGTCGCAAGTCGGAGCGACTGATCGTGCGACTAGTCGTAGGATCCTGCGACTGTCAAACGAACAACACCATAATTTTGTGTGTGCCCTGCTTCCCTCGCCCATTTTCAGTTATTCAAATTTGGATAATTATGAAGTTTTGGCCTAAAAATCTAAACGACGTGGTTTAATTGGGAAGAAGAACCCAATTAATTAGGAACTACGAAGCATAAAAAGATTTGATGTTAAATTCCATAACTTTTATCCCAATTTTAAAACAACGTTCTTTTCATTGTTTGGACTCTAAGAGGCAAAATGACGTAATTTTGATTTAACAGAATACTACCTAATTATGATGAGTTGAAATTGAAAAAGGCAATGGCACTTTAATTTATTTTGATAGGAAAAAACATTTTGCAAAAATTTGAAGTTGAAATATACCCTTTTTTCAATTTCTAACTTAAAAATAATTGGCAATGAATGAAATAGTCCATGTATTAATTATATACACTAGTCATTCGAAATATGTAATTTTTGTACCATGATTCGGGTTCCATGTATTAAAGGAGGATTAATGAGAGCATATTCCATGGAAGATGTTACTTAGTCATGGATTACGTTTTTCTCCACTCTTCTACTTCTTCCTCACCTTTGATTTACTCTCCTCATTCTCATTCTAGCTTTATAAGCTAGCCATCCTTCTCTTTCTGTTTTGTAATAGATGAGTGGTTATCTAGGCTCCTATGTAAACTTTTATATTATTCAAGAAAACCCTTTAACAAAAAAAAAAAATGAGAGCATATTCATTTTGATTTCTTTCTACGAATGCGAAAAGGATGTGTATGTGAACAAGTAGAGAATGCGTGGTTCAGTTTATAGCAACGTCTTCTGCATATTAAATGTCTTGTTACCATAAACCCAACAAAAAAAAGTTGAATATATTGTTTTTGTTTATCATATACCTACGTTAAAACTTAAAACGTCATAACGAAAATGTACTATGTGAGAAAGTGTTATTGGCAATTTGAAAGCTTTTAATATTTCCAAAACTGTTAACTTAGTTTTTTTTTTCTATATCAGTTTCCACTTTGGTATTTGATGTAGTACTTTTACTCAATTAAATATCGAACCACAAATTGCAATTGATCAACTTACTAGGAATACACGCAAAAGTTTAATCTAGGCTAATAAGATGATTGGGTTTTGTAAACTTGACTAACAAAGTAAATAACAATCAAACAATGCAAAACAAGACAAATGAAAGTAAAATGCAAAAGACTTACAAGTTTCGAAAGTAAACAAAGCGGAAAATAACAAGTTACTAAGCGATAACTAAAAGCAAATTCTCGGATTAAAGGGAATTGATTAGGAATGATAAAAAAGTGGATTATGGAGCTTCAAACAACTTCTAATAAGCAATGATCCCTAGGCCATAGAATACTAAACAACACTAACACATTTCCATAACATTAGTCCATTTACTAATCAATTAATCATCAACTTCTTCCAAAGGCAATCAATTGACTAACAAGCATTATAAACAAGTCTATCTAGCCACTTAACACCCTAATCAACAATTTCCAAAGGTAAGGTATGTAAAGCACTTAAAGGTTTTGGTTCGGGAATTTCATCGAACACCTTCCGGGCATGAAATTCCTAAAGTCTAAATCAACATTATCAAGGCTAATCTAGCTTTATAAACAACCAATAAGTAAGGATCTTAAGTAATCTAGCCCTAAACTCCATAACCCAACAACTAAACCATCTTAATCTACCTTAACCCAAGAACTCTAAATGACTACTCACTCATGATCATGATTACACAAAGCAATAGGTTTGATCTTTGTGAAATCATAATTAGAGAAGGTAGATAAGAGATTAAAAGAGAAATTTGGATTCAAAACTCAACAAAACCAAAGTTTCATACAAAAACTTAGAAAGGAACCTTAAGAGAAGTTTTTGATCTCTAAACAAAGCATAACCTTCCTAAAACTAGGTTAAGAGTATATATAGAAAAGGGAAAAACGAACCGGGTCAACCAGGAACAAACCGGGTTTTGACCCGGTTTAGGCACCCAATCGACCACTCAATCGACCACTTGGTCTATTGGGTAGAGCAATCGATCGATTGAAGTGTCGTCCATAGCTCTGATCTAGTACCAATCGACCAAGGAATCGACCAGTTGGTCGATTGGTTTGTCCTGAGGCAATCGTCTGTAGCTCTGATCCATACGAATAGACCAGCGAATCGACCAAATGGTCTATTGCTTTCTCTTCTCTTTTTCAATCACCTTTCTTCACTATATCTTGACATCTCCTTTCTCCTCTTGACCCCTCTTTGATCTTCATTACTCAAGTTGCCTTCTTTTAGCTTCCTTTTTGCTCTATTTATTCTCAAAACTCCAAGCTCCACTCATGTACCTAAGAAAACCAAATGCAAATGCAAATGCAACACTATATGCCAGAATATGAATGCAAATCAATGAAAACTAAGAGAAAAGAGGCTTTAAAACAACCAAAATCACTAGACATCAGTATTAACAGTTAGCCAGTCAAAATAAATCAAACAAGGTTCCCAAAATAAAGAAAATTAAACAATAACAGAACCTGATCACTAATAAACAATAAAATAGAATGAGTGATAATTGACGAAGCTATCTATGTTAGAGTCAGATATGATTTGGTATATTCACATGGTGAGACACAGTTTCATAGGGTGGGGACTACCGCATTGGATTCTACGAAGAAAATTTTCACGGTTCGGGTACGTAGCCATACGCCAAGGGTCCACGTAGTGTAGTTACTTTTATAAATTGGTAAGACTTTGGATTTAAGGGTTGTGGAGATGATCACATGGGAGGTTGGAGAAGTCGTGACTTCTTGAAGAGTGGCAAGTGCACAAGCTCTTATTAAATCAATTTGGGCTATCTTTACAAAATTCTTTAGAAATGTTTTTTTTTTCTTTATCATATAATACTATTTCAAGTTTCGACGGTAAATTTAAAATTGTCTAGCCACACAGCTTTGGTCTAGTGGTAAGAAAGAACTGGGGAAATGTTGGAAGGAACTAACCCAAGTTCGATTCACCCTGAAAATAAAAATCACATATGTGTGGGAAGTCGGAAAGCATTAGTCGGAACAGGCGATCTGGCTACCTCCTGGCATTAGTCGGAAAGCATTTCAAACTCGGGACAGACAGTGTGGTGGCCCTTCAGAGAGAAGTCCACTCTGAAGCACTTCAGTGCGTTTATACTGGGACTGACCGGATCAGCCGATAGGGTTTATCCAAAAAAAAAAAAAAAAAATTAAAGTTGTCTAGATCTACCTAATGTCCTTAAAGTAATTTAAATCCGTTTAACAACTAAACTACTTAACCCTAACGCTTAGGAAATACTTGCTACGATATGTAGATGCATAACATCCTCTAGAGAGCTAGCCATTTAAACTTCTTTTTAAAACAATGGTTTTATGATAGAACCATGTGATTTTCCAAACTACAGTGTTCTTGCTGTTACTAAAACTACAATAGGCTCCACAACATGTTCAGCAAACATTTTTAGATGTCAAAAAAGCATTTTGCTTTTAGTCTTAATGAAAGAAAATAAAAGAGCCACCATTATACCAAGACAGAGATATCGACAAGGAAAAATGTTTATCAGCTACACGAACGAGACGTCATCACATCGTCACACATGCAGACTTTAAAAATGTCTCGTTAGCTACACGAACTATTGTTATCACATACGGACATCCCGAACTAACATAAGTCATGTTGCAAACACCATAACCATCTAATTCCAGTGTACTGGTTGCCGGAATCTGGCGTTGACCAAAAAATATTTTCAAAAAAAATATTTTTTTTTCTTTTTTTACCACAAAATAATATTCAAACAACCGAGAAGAAAAAAATATTTTTTTGTGGTAAA